GCATTGCCACCCGCCCGTTGCTCAGCGACCCCGGCGACACGCGGTGCCCTGCGAGCTGATAGCGTGTCGCTTCGCTTCGTGGGGCGGGAGACTGGGAACAGGCTCGGGCCGTTGACGCCTGGGGATCGGGACGTAGAGGTAGGCTGGACAAGAATGAAGTTGGGAAGTCTGGCAGAAAGAAAGTGGCCTGGGTCAGAAAAACCAGCAAGGGCTGCGACGAGCACGAAGAAGTTGGGACGAGGTCGCCAGTTCTGGAAACATTCAAGGAGAACTGGCCAGGGTTGGAAAGAGTGGAAGGGCTGGCCCCAGCCACTTTTTCCAGCCTCCCTGTAGACGTGGGAGTAGGGTAGAGGTGGGGGTCAGGGGCAAATCGCCTGGACGGCCCCCCGAGAGGGAAAACGCCAGCCACGAGCTGGGTTCGCCCCCTACTACCCCACTTTGAGCGCTAACCCCCCCCCTCCCTCCGTATACGCACCCTCGAGCCCAGGGGCACGGGGACGCGGTTCGCGTGCCGCGCCGAGGCGCGGTGGATTAGAACCGGCAGCGCGACCTGCGGAGCAAACGTTACTGACACGGCGCGGGCCGCAACACTTCGACGCCGACGTGCGGGCCCTCTCATGTCGAGCTGGCGAGCCGTGGAGGACAACGGACAAGTGCTGGCACAAGAGCTTATAGAACCCGGAAATAAACTTGAGGGATCCACGGATCCGGTAAGGCACTTGAGTCAAACTTTCTTCTGACGCGCGTGCAATACATTCCCTTTGCTTAGCTGAAACCACTGCGTCCTGCACGTCCTCCTCCTCCTCCTCCTCCTCCTCCTCCTCCTCCTCATCATCATCATCATCATCATCATCATCATCATCATCATCATCATCATCATCATCATCATCCCCACCCTCCTCCTCCTCCTCTTCCTCCTCCTTCTCCCTCCTCCTCCTCCCCTCCCTCCTCCTCCTCCCTCCCTCCTCCCTCCTCCTCCTCCTCCTCCTCCTCCTTCCTCCTCCTCCTCCTCCTCCTCCTCCTCCTCCTCTTCCTCCTCCTCCTCCTCCTCATCATCAGATTCCTGCCTCCACATTCCTTCTCCCCATCGTCATCTCCCTCATGCGCGGCGGCGCCTGTGCACGTGTGGAGAATCCGACGCGCCCCCTGGGGGCCGTGGACACGTGAAAATACGTGCCCCGTGCGCACGCGCCAGGCGCATGTTGGTCCCCCCCCTCCGCGCGCGTATTTTCGTCAGGGCCATGGGCGCGTGAAAATAAGTGCCCCGCGCGCACGCGCCAGGCGCATGGTGGGTCTCCCCCGCGCCCCCCTGGGGGCCGTGGATACGTGAAAATACGTGGCCCGAGCGCACGCGCCAGGCTCATGTTGGGCCCCACTCCTCTGCGCACGTATTATTTTTACCAGGGCCGTGGACGTGAAAATACGTGCGCCGCGCGTGCGCGTCAGGCGCATGTTGGGCCCCTCCTCCGCGCTCCTATTTTTTCGTGTGAAGAATCCGGCGGGCTAAATTGGGTCCTTCGCTGGGGGCCGTGGGCGCGTGAAAATACTTGCCCCGCGCGCACGCGCCAGGCGCATGTTGGGTCTCCCCCGCGCCCACATTGGTTCCCTCGCTGGGGCCCGTGGATACGTGAAAATAAGTGGCCCGCGCGCGCACCAGGCGCATGTTGACCCCCCCCCTCCTCCGCGCACGTATCCTCACGCGTAAAGAATCTAACGCGCCCAAGTTGGGTCCCTTGCTGGGGGCCGTGGACACGTGAAAACATGTGCCCCTCGCGCACTCGCCAAGCGCATGTTGGGCTCCCCCTCCGCGCTCAAATCTACGTGTAAAGAATCCGGCATGCCCAAGATGGGTCCCCCCCCGTGGAGGCCCTGGGCACGTGAAAACACGTGCCCTGCGCGAACGCGCCAGGCGCATGTTGGGCCCCCCCGAGCCCAAGTTGTGTCCCCCATGGGGGCCGTGGACATGTGAAAATACGTGCCCCGCGCGTACGCGCCAGGCGCATGTTGGGTCCCCTCCCCCCCGCGCACGTATTTTTACCAGGGCCGTGGACACGTGAAAATACGTGCCCCGCGCGCGCGTCAGGCGCACGTTGGGCCCTCCCTCCGCGCTTGTATCTTTTCGTGTAAAGAATCCGGCGGGCTAATGGGGCCGTGGGCACGTGAAAATACGTGCCCTGCGTGGGCGCGCCAGTCGCATGTTGGGCCCCCCCTCCGCGCACGTATTCTCACGGGTAAAACATCCGACGCGCCCCAAATGGGTCCCCCCCCCTCGGGGCCGTGGACACGTGAACATACGTGCCCCACGCGCACGCGCCAAGCGCATGTTGAGTCCTCCCCCTCAGCGCACGTATTCGATCGGGGCCGTAGAAACGTGAAAATATAAGCCCCGTGCGCACGCGCCAAGCGCATGTTGGGCCCCCCCCTCCGCGCATGTAATTTTACGTGTGAAGAATCCGGCGGGCTAAGTTGGGTCCCTTGCTGGGGGCCGTGGACACGTGAAACTATGTGCCCCACGCGCACGCGACAAGCGCATGTTGGGTCCCCCCCATCCGCGCGTGTATTTCTACATGTCCAATTCCGGCTGGCCGAATTGGGTCCCTCGCCTGCGGCCCTGTCGGGGCACACGTGCCGAACGCACGCGTGCCGAGACTCATGTTGGGCCCCCCCCCCTCCGCACACGTATTTTTACGTGTCCAATTCTGGCGCTGCTGCTCGACACCCTTCTGGTGGAGGGCTTTTCGCCCGCTTGCTAAAAGAGAGCCCTGGGCTGGAGCCCTTACCGGGGAACAACAACACGCACTTGTGGATATGGGGATTGATACGCCCCCCATACAGTCAAGCCGCTGTAAGAAGGAACGCTAAATAAGGAACGAGCCACCTCTTCGGTACCCAAAGAGCCTGGATGCACGAAGAGGACTAGAAGAACAACCACGGAATGACCCAAAGAAGATCGAGCCCCTTCCGACCCCCAAACGGTCCTCATCACAGCATCTTGACTGTACACTTGCACCTTGAGGCTGGATCCCTCTCCATTCTTCTGGGCCCATTCTTGGAGCTAGCAGTGCCCTGGCGTAAGATGTTTCCGTTCATGCGGCCCCGAACCTCGTCTGTGACCACTCCACCTCCAAATGCCCTCCCCCTCCTCCCTCCCCTCCTCCTTCCTCCGTCCTCCCTCATACCTATTGCGTCATCCTCCGCCGAATCCTCAGGGGGGAAGAGGTGGAGATGATGAAGAAGAAGATGATGATGATGATGATGCTGATGATGATGATGATGATGCTGATGCTGATGCTGATGCTGATGATAATGATGATGATGATGATGATGATGATGATGATGATGATGATGATGATGATGATGATAATGATTATGATGATGATATTGATGATGATGATGCTGATGATGAGGTTGATGATGATGATGCCGATGATGCTGATGATGAGGATGATGATGATGCTGATGATAATGTTGATGCTGCTGCTGTTGCTGATGATGATGCGGACGATTATGCCGATGGTGATGATGATGGTGATGATGATGCTGCTGACGATGAGGATGATGATGATGATGATGAGGATGATGATGAGGAGAAGGAGGAGGATGAGGAGGACGAGGAAGAGGAGGAGGATGAGGAGGAGGAAGAAGAGGAGAGGAGGAGGATACGGGATGAGGAGGAAGGAGTGTGGACGAAAATGGAGGGGGCGGAGGAGGATGGAGGCCCTTCTTCTTCTTCTTCTTCCTCCTCCTCCTCTCTTCCTCATGAGCTCTCCTGGGGCCCAGTGGGGCCCTGATCCCCCCTCTTCTTCTTCTTCTTCTCCTCCTCCTCCTTCTCATCCGTTTCCTCCTTTTCCTCCTCCGTTTCCTCCTCTGTTTCCTCCTCCGTTTCCTTCTCCTCGTCCTTCTCGTCTTCCTCTTCCCCCTCCTCCTCCTCCTCCTCCTCCTCCTCCTCCTCCTCCTCCTCCTCTCCTCTTCATTATAAATATCTTCTCCTTGTCGCACCCCGAGGCCAATTTTTAGGGCGGTCCGGGCGTGTCGCCTGAGACTTCCTCACCGCTTATGACTCTGAAGCTTAAAACTTGGCAGGAGCTTTACAGATGGAGGGCGGGCCGTTTTCAATATGTGGCTCTCGCTTTAGCGCGGCGCACATTCGTTCTAAACATTTGCAAGAGCTTCACGGATTGAGGGCGGATGGTTTTCAACTTGTGGCTCTCGCCTTAGCGCGGCGCACATTCGTTTCAATTAATTGCAAGAGTTTCACGGATTGAGGGCGGGTCGTTTTCGAAATGTGGCTCTCGCCTTAGCGCGGCGCGCATTCGTTCTAAAAACATGCCGGAGCTTCACGGATTGAGGGCGGGTGGTTTTCAACATGTGGCTCTCGCCTTAGCGCGGCGCACACTCGTTTCAAACAATTGCAAGAACTTCACGGACTGAGGGCGGGTCGTTTTCAAAATGTGGCTCTCGCCTTGGCGCGGCGCACATTCGTTTTAAACATCTGCAAGAGTTTCACGGATCGAGGGCGGGTCGTTTTCAAAATGTGGCTCTCGCCTGAGCGCCGCGCACATAAACAAATTGCAAGACTTTCGCGGGTTCCCATCATCAACGTACCAGAGATTATGTTTTGGACGGGTTCAGGATTATCCGCGTGCAACAGTTACGTTGGTACTATGTGTTGAAATCTTAAGAACGGCGTTCTGGCACGATTCAGGACCGTCAAGAGGCGGCAGTCAGGTTGGCCCGTGGCGTTGGAATCCCGAGAACAATGTTTTGGCCGGCTTCAGGGTCTTCAAACGGGTGTCTTCCAACGAGGCAGTTCCATCAATGGAAATGAACCGTTGTATGGGCCTATGAAGAGGGAGCTTGGAAGGAGGGCTTACTCCAACATCGTTGGTGACTCTTGGGTTTACACTGGCCCTCCTCCTCCTCACCCTTCTCCTCTCCCTCCTCCTCCTCCCCCTCCTCCTCATGAGCTCCCTCTCCTGCGCCTCTGGCGGGCTGCCGTCCTCCCGCTTTTCCATCGTGCGGCGGTGGCTGTCCGACATCCTCCCGGTCGGGAGGGTGGCGAAGGCTCGCCCCCCCCCATCCCTTCTCCTTCTCTTCGTTTCCTCCTCCTCCTCCTCCTCCTCTTCCTCCTCCTCCTCCTCGGTCCGCGGTCCGGAACTGCTGCGGATTGTCCCAGAATCGGGGCCGCCGAAACCAGCGCGTTGCGTGCGCCGCCGCGGGGCACTCACAGCGCGAGGCGGGCCCTTCTGAGCGGGCGGCATGGGGACAGCTAGCCGACTCCCCCGCCCAGTTCTGCCAGGCCGGAAACAGCCAGAGCCCAAGCAAGGGGGCCCCAACACACGGGCCTTCTCTGACAGCACGGGCAGGGGCCAGACCACCGCAAAACCCACGCGGCCGCACCCCCCCAAAGCCCCCCCCCCACGACACGACAAACGAGGGGGAGGACGGACCGCCCGGCACGACCCCCACCCGAGATCAGGGAACCCAGGGATCTGGAGGCCACAAAGGACGTACGCGCCCAGCTATGTACATGAACACGGCCCCTCGATCCGCGAGACCGGCCGCGTTATACGAACATTTGCACAATGCGTACCATCGAAACCAGCGTGGATTCATGTACGTGTACGTCCTTCTTTCGCTCCTGAAGGGAGAGACCCCTGGCCGGAACGGGGGACTGCGCGCCACCCCCCCGGGGAAGGGGACCGCGCTTTGGCGGCCGTCCCCAGGTGTGGGGGCGCCCCGAAGACCCGACGGTCCCCGCCTCCGTCGGGGGAGCGCTGTTGGCCCCGACACCCTCCCCCAGCGAAGGGCGCCCCCCCCGCCTCCTCCGCCTCCTCCTCCTCCTCCTCCTCCTCCTCCTCCTCCTCTGCTCCTCCTCTCCCTCCTCCTCCTCCTCCTCCTCTGCTCCTCCTCCTCTGCTTTCCTCTTCTTCTCCTCATCCCTTTCCTCTGTCCCCTCATTCAGCGCCCCCTTCGTGTCCTTCCCCTCTTCCTTTCTCTGCTCCGTCTTCTGCGCCCCCTCCCTCTTCTTGTCCACTTCCTCCTGCTCATCCTTCGAGAGGATGAAACGGGGTGGGGATGGAGGGGGATGCCGGGGAGGCGATGGAGACTCCACAGCTGGGCCGCGCGGGCCCGCGGATAGAGAGAGAGAGAGAGCAAGGCACGCAGACGAGACGGAGGCCGCGCCGCACGAGCGAGAGCGACGCGGCCGATGGGGCAGCTTGGAGAGGCGGATCCCTTTTCAGTGTGTGAAACACACATCAACCAAGACGGCGAACAAGAGCACTCGGCAGAGGAGTAGTCAACAGCATAAGCCTCAACTTTCTGGAGGTCCGCGCGCAGATTTCTCGGATCGGCGCCGGACTCCCCTGGCGGCGTCTCTGGTCCTGGCGCGCTGCGCGCGTGAGGGAAAGGGGGTCCAACGCCGCTCCAGGAAATCCGCGCGGACCTCCGAACCTTTATGCTTATGTACGGCAGGTTCGGTTCGTGACGACCCCGGCGTTGGTCTCTGACATCGCATGGATCGCTCACCTTTAAACGATCGGCGGCTTTCCGTTCGCTGGATCTTTTGAGATTGGCCGATTCTGGCCGCTAGCGGCGTTCAACCTTGAAGGCCCACGGCGGGGTCGCCGCCGCGTCGACACGACACGAACCTACCGTAGTTTCTTGTTCTTCGACTCCTACCTGCTGCTTGTCCTACGCTGCTTCTCCTCCTGTTGTGATGCCCTCCTCCGCTGCTTCTCCTCGATGGACGAAAGGTATGGCAAACATTGGCGCTTCTCGGCACGCTTCTCAGCCGGCGCCCTCCCTCTTTACCCCTTAGCGCCGGACGCTTTGACAGCTCCACCGCATCGGGCGCAGGAGCCCTGGGCAACACTCCAGGCGCCACTTTGTGGACCCTGCCCAGATTCTTGTGTCGTGTGTACGGCCAACATCGTGTTTCGCCCATATGTGCACCTCGTCGATGTCCCGGGCGAGCTGGTCAAGTACTGTCTTCTTTGAACCGTCGTTCGGCACTCATGAACCCTGTCAAGGTTTTCTGATCGGCGTGCTCATCGCAACATTCCCATGTGGCCGTCGCGGCTTGATTGTACCCCGCTCAAACCAACTATCCAGCTGTCATTGGGCGTCTCGACTCCCTCGCAAAGCATGGTCGGTGGAGTACGTGCTGAACTGAGAACAAATCCTGGCACACATCCGCCACCGTACCCCCTGGTACGTTGAGGCGTTGTATAATGCCAAGTGCTGTCTGGTATAATTAATGTAAGTATTCGAAGGCCCCCGCTTTTGTCACTCCCAACTACATGCGCCACTCCCCCGCACTAGGGTTTCTGGGCGCCTCTCGAAGGCTCTCCAAGGCTTCCAGGAACTTCCAGGATGGCCACAGACTGTCTCAATGGGGCACTCCACAGCTCTGAGAAAATCCCAACGGGCGCCAAGGAGCCCCCCAGGAATGCCAAACTCACGGAACAATCTGAAGGAATCTCGAGGCTTTTGAATCTATGGGGCTTCCCACGTCTCTCGGTCCAAGAAGATTCCAACAGGGTCTAGGGGGCAACTGAACATTCGCCAGCCCAACGCGTCAACGGCGTGCTATAATCTCCGGTAAATCTAGTTCGCGCGCGCGGGGCGGTCCCTGGGGACCACTGGAGGAAACATGCCCCGCGAAGTACCCCGGAAACCTGTGGATCAGGGATGGTTTTCCTCCTGGGCGCGGCCTGGAAGGCATACCAGGGCGCGCCAGGAGCGCCCCAGGGGGGTGCCTCCAGCAGAGCCAAGGAGGGCCCGAGACGGCTCGAGAGCGCCCAAGACGCCCGAGATGGCCTCTTGACGGCCCAACGAAGCTCCCAACCGCCTCAAGAGCGTCCAAAGAAGGCACCGGGAAGCCACAATTCATTTCACTTTCCTTACGTTTTGGGAAGATTTCAGCGTTGCTGCCTTTCCAGCCTTCCAACGCTCCAAAACGGAGGCCCCCAAAGTCGCCCCAAGATGAACCGAGAGACCCCAAGACGGCCCAAGCGAGCTCCAAGACAGCCCCAACTGCCCCTCAGACGGCCCGAGAGAGCTCCACGAGAAGCCCAAGAGGCGGAACACGGACAGACATTTCGAGCCCTCTGCCCCAAGACGACCCCCGAGACTGCCAACAAACCACAAAGAAATACCCACGAGGGCCCAACATGCTCCCGAGGGACCCAACAGGCCCCCGATATCCCTGCAAGAAGCAAGACGCCCTACTATGAATCCATCGGGCCCCTGACAAACCACACAGGCACGGCGGCGGGATGGGTCTGCACTTTCCTCGATCTCATGCTCCTCCTCAGAATTCATGAGCGGAAGTCCACACAAAGCCCCGAAGACCCCTCCCTCCCCTCCTCGTCCTGTTTCTCCTCCCACTGTCCATCCTCTCCATCTTCCTCCCTCGAATGTTCCCCGAAGGGTTTGCCCAGCGGCTGAGAGAACCACTGCTCCTCCGTAGCGCGTGGCTCCACGTACCGTTCGGGAAAAGCAACGAACGCCCGAACGATTTACGAATCACTACGGCCACGCGACACATGGCAACGACGACGCTATCCGGGACAGCGGACAAAGCGAAACGGTGCAAATTCGGCGGGCCCCCTGCGGGCCCTGGCCGTGTTGAAGGCTCCGAGGGCGGATGATGAAAGGGAAGATAATAGAGGAGAGGGAGAAGCACGCAGAAGGCATGCTAACAAGGGCTTCGTCCATTTCGCCGGTCCGCGCCGGCCGATTTCCCCAATTTGCCGGGGGGCATGGCAAAATGATAATGAAACGTGTTCCCAGCGCGAGGCTCACGCGAGTGACAGCTCCAGGGACATGTCACAAACAATAATGAGATGCGCCCTCGGAGCTGAGAAAGCTTTGTTTCGGCGCACATCTCACGCATGTCCTACTTCACACTATTTTGGGACACGTGAAAAGACGACTGCCCTGCGCCTCGAAGGCCACGAAGGGTTCAATTCTAGACATCCCTCGAAGTTCCTGCGCCACATTGTACTGGGACGCGTGAAAATACGAGTAGTCTGTGCTCTCAGGCAAGCGCGCCCCTCACGCTCTCAGCTGACCCTTCAGATGTCTCAGGGGGGCTTCAAGTCGGGGCATCCCTCACGCACTTCGTCCCCCATGGAAGCCCTAACGGCCGCCCGACCCCCCGCGGGGCGCCAAAATGTCCCCAAGAAGCATTGCAACGACTGGTGCCGACCCTCGTCGAGGCAGTATCCCTAACGGATGGGGGGGGGGGGGGGGGGGGGATTTTTTCCAGCACGGGGCCGATGGCAATGACGCGTTAACAACTGATGAAGTCCAATGTCTCGGGCGTCTGTGGGAAACTTCCCACCGAGACAAATCCAGCTTCGTGGGGCGCCAAGGAGACGCAGCAAGCAGCAGCAGCGAGGGAGGGCGAGGAGGGGGAGACCGATCGATCGATCGATCGAGGCCATTGTCAGCACTAAGCTAGCCACCCGAGCTCAAACGGGGCGGCGGTGAGAAAGAACGCGCTGCAACCGCGGGGCACGGCGCCTGGAAGTTGTCCAGACCTCGCGCACGGGCGCATCAACAAGGCCGAGGCGAGCCGACAAGGGATGGCCCAGCCTGGTCGCATCGGCTGAGGTGCACCAGAGGGTGCACGCCCGCTTTCCCAAGTCGGCGGATGGGGTCGGAGCTCCAGGCCAACAAACCCACAGAGAGAAGCAGAAGAGGGAAGACAGCAGCGGCGACCCTGCGTGCGCGATCGGCTGGAGGGGCGGCGCGGGGCCGCAGAGAGACTCTCTCAAGCAGAAACGCAACCAGAGAGAGGCAGGGCGGACCTCGAAGTCAGCTCGGACGCCGCCACGGCGGCAGCAACAGAAGGGGGGGGGGGGGGGGGGAAGGCGAGAGGGGACGGAGCACACAAAACACAAAGACAATTCGCAAAACTACCAACTGCTGAAATCAACCAAGCAGGGCGATTCCCTCCGCATGATCCCTAACTGCTGCCAGCTGCCGCACACAGGACATCAGGAAACGCAAGACTAGGACAATGGGCAT